TATTATTAATATAGAAAGTTTGCCCTTGATAATGCTCGCTAAAGCAACAACAACAACAACAACAACAACAACAACAACAACAACAACAACAACAATAACAACAACAACAACAACTATACTATTCAGAATGTGATGGGTTTTTTAAAGGTTTTTTCTACATTGTAATTGATTGTGTGTGGGGTTTTGTTGTTGGGGTTTTTTTTCGTTTTTTTTTTCAATTACTTTCGTTCTATTGATCTGCTCTTCCTAATAGAAAAAAATACAGTGGGCTACGTGATGGCTTTTACGTTTGTTTCAACACGGTAAAGAGGCGGGATGTACACTTCCGATAGGATCTAGTGAATCAAATAGAGGCAGAGACATGGAGACTTCAAAGGTAGCCCAAAAATGTCCACTTGTAAAATGTTCCTTTTTGGAAATTGAATTCGAACGAGGATTATCTACATAAAAGTTAAGTATTGTATACTTTGAGTCAGCGACGTGTTTCCGGTGTTGTAAAACTGAAACGGGTTTTGTTGCGAGGAAATACAAGCAGAAATTTCCAACAGTCCAAATATCGGTACAGTTTTAAGGACAAAATAAATGTTTAAAAATTTTTAAAATCCCAAAACTTAAAAAAACCCACAGATCCGTACGGTAGGAATATAGAATACAATTAATACGAATGTTAAACTCTTCAAACATCGATAAAGCAGAAATAAAGTACATGTCGTCTACGTAAATGTACAAATCTAGTCTGCGAAATTTCAGAAATCGGTGGGGTTATAAGGACTATATAAAAAAATACCTAACAAACAAAACAAATACGAATCTCCAATACTTCAAAAATCGGTACGGTCGAAATGCAAAATGAAAATCTCAAATCAGAATACCCACCACTTTCTGAACGAACGAAGAATACAACCTCCTCAAACAGACTCAACACTTCATCTTTTAATTTTGCTCTTGGGGCAATGTAAAGGTCTTGGAAGCAGCTCAACTCAACTGCATGGATATCACCTATCGGTGTAGCAAGTGCCATAAAACTTATATTAAAAAAAGAATAAACTAACTAAGCCCAGTACGTTTGGTCTTCAAAGAGTATGTCGTGTGCTAAGAAAGAAAGAAAGAAAGAAAGGAAAAAGAAAGAAAGAAAGAAAGAAAGAAAGAAAGAAAGAAAGAAAGAAAGAAAGAAAGAAAGAAAGAAAGAAAGAAAGAAAGAAAGAAAAATATAAGAAAAAAAGAAAGTGAAAAGAAAAAAGACAGTCAGGTTACCTTCGGGTGTTTGGAGTAATGAACAACCCGTGGACGAATGTGTAGGAGTGTTGGGCCAGACGGGAAACAGTCAAATCAGTGGCAGAAACAATAACAATAGCAATAACAATAACAATAGCAATAGCAATAGCAATAGCAATAGCAATAGCAATAGCAATAGCAATAGCAATA